TAGCCCCAACCATAAAATTATTTTCGTTGCTACTTCATACCTGTAATTTTGCTACTGTTATGAGTCGTAATGTAAATATCTGATATGTAGGATATATTTTCATTGTTACAAATTGAACATAATTAAAGCTTAGTGATTAATCACAAAAACAATATGTAATTAGATATGTGTTTTCCAATGGTCTTAGGCGACCCCTGTGAAAGGGTCCTTCGACCCCCAAGGGGTCGTGACCCACAGGTTGAGAACCGCTGATTTAGACCATTTTAAAGTGGCATTTAGTACATTTACAGTGTTGTACATCTACCTTGTCCAGAACATTTCCAACCCCCCCAAAATCCCTTACCCATTAGCAGTCGCTCCCCATGTCCATCCCTCAGCCCCTGGCAATCACTGATCTGCCTTCTGTCTCTATGATTTTGCCTATTCTGGACATTGCATATAAATGGAATTTTCTGACTGGCTGTTTTCACTAAGCATCATGTTTTCAAGGTTCATCCGGGTTGCAGCATGAATCAGTACTTTACTTATTTTTATGTATGAAGAATATTTTGTGGACAGACCACATTTTACTTTATTTTCTAATTCAACAGTGAAACCTGGGGTGGGCTCCGCCTGGGGGATGAGGGAAGGAGGGAGGAGACCGCTGTGACTGGCAGGAAGTACTGTGAGGTGTGGGGAGAAGGGCCAGGATTGGCACACTGGGGGGTATAGGGCTGCATTTACATGGTGCAGACAATGCTAATGGAGGTCCCTTGTAGGACTGTCCACCGGGCAGCAGATTGCTTCCAAAGTCTCATTTGTGGAAAAGGAAGAACAGTTGTCTATGAGGAGGGGGAGATGACCCAAGGATGGGAAGGGAATCTCTGTGGGTGGAGAACCTGGTTCTCAGTGGCACCGATTTTCTAGGGGCAACCACGGCCCCTGGAGACCGGCCCCTCCGTCCACCAGAGGCTGGGTCCACCGGGGAGCATGCTCAGGAAGAGGCCGGTCCTGGGGGGAGGGCATGTGCTCGTTGCTTATAGGGAAAGGGGCGCCTCCCTTTAGGGTAGGCAAATACAGTAGTGGCAAACTTCTATTTATAAAAAAGGTGTGCCGCGGGGGAGGGCAAACATCTCCATTTCCTCAACGTCGCACCCCAGCTGTTCCCGTGCTAGCAGGCCTCCCAGGTTTCCCCGAGGGGATGCGGGGACCGAACCGCGGGGACCACCTGGTGATTCCATGAGATCCTGCCTCATCCAATTTACAACCCCATCCAAGCTGTGAGCATCGGCTTTGCATATGAATGGCCTTTTCTTACTTAGGCTAAAACCTCTCGAGCAAGCTGCAGCTGATCAGTGAGGCCCCAAACCTATCAATAAAAGGCCCAATACCTGGCACCAGCACCAGCCTGCCTTGCTTCACAGTTGGGCCTCATCTGGGCACTTCCAAACCCGATACAAAGGAGGAATCTGCAGATCTCTCTGTAGCTCCTGCTGGACAGCCCCAGACAGTGGCTAACTACACCTCCCTGGAGACCCAAGAGCCAGTGTACCCAGTGGTCAGTGTGAGACCATC